TCTAGTTCAGTTCTAGTTCAGTTCTAGTTCAGTTCTAGTTCAGTTCTAGTTCAGTTCTAGTTCAGTTCTAGTTCAGTTCTAGTTCAGTTCTAGTTCAGTTCTAGTTCAGTTCTAGTTCAGTTCTAGTTCAGTTCTAGTTCAGTTCTAGTTCAGTTCTAGTTCAGTTCTAGTTCAGTTCTAGTTCAGTTCTAGTTCAGTTCTAGTTCAGTTCTAGTTCAGTTCTAGTTCAGTTCTAGTTCAGTTCTAGTTCAGTTCTAGTTCAGTTCTAGTTCAGTTCTAGTTCAGTTCTAGTTCAGTTCTAGTTCAGTTCTAGTTCAGTTCTCTAGTTCAGTTCTAGTTCAGTTCTAGTTCAGTTCTAGTCAGTTCTAGTTCAGTTCTAGTTCAGTTCTAGTTCAGTTCTAGTTCAGTTCTAGTTCAGTTCTAGTTCAGTTCTAGTTCAGTTCTAGTTCAGTTCTAGTTCAGTTCAGTTCTAGTTCAGTTCTAGTTCAGTTCTAGTTCAGTTCTAGTTCAGTTCTAGTTCAGTTCTAGTTCAGTTCTAGTTCAGTTCTAGTTCAGTTCTAGTTCAGTTCTAGTTCAGTTCTAGTTTCAGTTCTAGTTCAGTTCTAGTTCAGTTCTAGTTCAGTTCTAGTTCAGTTCTAGTTCAGTTCTAGTAGTTCTAGTTCAGTTCTAGTAGTTCAGTTCTAGTTCAGTTCTAGTTCAGTTCTAGTTCAGTTCTAGTTCAGTTCTAGTTCACTTCTAGTTCACTTTTAGTTCAGTTCTAGTTCAGTTCTAATTCACTTCTAGTTCACTTTTAGTTCACTTCTAGTTCACTTCTAGTTCAGTTCTTGTTCATGTTTTAGTTTTAATGAAAAATCGGATTTCTTTGTAAAAATTGTGTTTTAGGGAAGATTTAGAAAACAATTCATTCTTGATTTTAAATTTTTATCATTCAGATACATATTTCTACATCAATTTATCTGATCTAAATATGTTCTGTTATAAAAAATTATCCCAAAAATCTAAATTCGTTTAATAAACAAATAATATTTATAAAATGTTAAACTTACCCAATACTTCAGCATTAACGACAATATTACAGCTATACATAGGACTGACTAAACGTTGTGGTTGATTCTGGAAAGCTTGACGACAGGCTTCCTTAGAAGCGGTTAAAACTTGTCCTAAATCATAAGAAGTAAATAAAAAATATTGAAAAATATTATAATTTTATTTTTATCTCACCGGAAAACGGACCATAAGCCTTCGAATTCAACTCATCCGAAGCCTCAACAGTCCACTCTAAGACCACAAAAAAACACCTTGCATTGGCTCTTCACACAGTGGACCAGCCGAGGTGGTCAATTGAAAACCATTAACAAAGGAACTATTATAATCACGTCTTACATCAGACGATTTAGGTGAATCTAAATCATCTGTAGAATTTAATAAAGGCCACCAAAAGCTGGGATGTTCGTAGTCACTTAAGTTTAGCAAAATGTTAGAGCCACAATGGCGTGGGCCCAAAGACCAAATGCGTTCAATTAGTTGTTCAGGAGAGAGAGTGGTTAAGCCATTGTTATCGAAATCTTTGAAAGCTGTAGAAAGTTGTGATTTTACTTGCTGCAACAGTTGCCTTGATTTTTCCGATACATTTGAGGATTTAGCGGTACTGGAAAATTCCTTGATAAAGGTATGATATTTTTCAATTATATCTATTACAGTTTGAGGCAAAGGCAAGGCTATAACTTTAAGAGTGGACAGTTTGTTGAGGGTAGTCATGGTAACAATTTTCTTAGAAATATCCTTATCTTCAGATGTTTTTACTATGGCTTCATTGACCATGTCGACAGTAGCTTCTGGCACTATGGTCTCACGGAATGATACAATGGGTTTAGAGACATTTACTTTAATTTTGGCATAACTCTCCTGCAAATCGTGAACACATTTTTCGACATGAACTTCACCCAAAGTAGTGATGACATGTTCTCCCGTAGCTTCTAGTGATACTTGTACGCATGCATCGGCTTGATTAAGTAATTTAAGACCTTTAATTAATTTAGGCATTTCGGAGGGATTAACCGGTTCTATGGCTACCCGAAATATGGGTGTAGCCATAACACTCAACTCACTAAACGACGTACAGTACATGGTATTACTTAGGGTGCTGGTTTTAACAATACTCTGTTCTAGACCTCCTATGCCCACTATGTTGCCGGCAGGCACTTCGTCTAGAGCCTGTAGTTCACCACCCATAAAGAGATACAAATCACCAATGGTTACTTCGGTTATATAAGGAGAATCCAGGGAAAGAGATCTATTAAGAAAATTATTATATTAATCAATGTTAATGATATATTGTCGATTTTAAAACTTACTCCTTATTTCTAGGATCATGTTTTGGTGCCAGATTATACAATTTCATGCCTTTTTTCAGAGTGCCACTAAAAATTCTGGCAAAGGCTATAAATACAAATTCAGGCTTCTCTTCTTCCTCCTTTGCTCAAGGGCCTTTTGTTTCTCCTCTTCCTCGTGTTGTTGCTTTTCCTCTGTAGTCATTTGCTGTACCCCAGCTGTGATACTTTCCACCTCCGAACTTTGGGCAGCCAACTGTTTACGTTCCTCAATACGTTTGCGTACTTCATCACGTCTCGCCTGTAACTCTTGATCGGTTAAACGTTTTGGTTTATTTTGCGGCAATTGTGTAACATGAACTGGTGTCATTTTCGATACAAATACTATTATGTTCGAGGATTGAGCATCACATTTTTTAAAGTCTTCTTTGAGGGCCAACGATTCGCTGGGATAAGTATTCAAATCGACATTTTCAGGGTAGAGTAAACGCTGGGCTCTTTCATCGTTTATACTGTTGGGGGCTGGTACATGTTTTACCACCATTTCTAAAATGGTACGATCAATGGGTAACCATTGACCCAGGACGGTTTTAATTTGTGCTTTGGGATCACCAACGCGTAGATCACGAGCTAGTAGTTTAATCCCCAGTTTTTCGGCAATAACTATTTATTAAATGAGAACAGGAGAAGATAAGTTAATTATTAAACAAATAAGAGTTCAATATTCTCTTTTACCGAATCTTATATACCCTTCACCATATTGTGTTTAATTTTATAATAATTCACGTTACTATTTTATATTTTCCATCCGTACCGTTACTTTAGCAATAACAAATCATACAACAACAACTAACGAAAAAAAACACAAAAAAAACCAACAAATACGCAAAGAAAAGAAACAAACAAAATACTCAAAGAAAAAACAAACGAAATACGCAAAGAAAAAAACCAACAAAATACGCAAAGTAATAAAACCAATATACAACCTTGGTTGGTTGTTGTTGGATTTTTTCAAAGCATGCACCAACATTATTTTTTATGAACTTTTTGCTTATATCTCCGTTATTTACATACGGATTTTGCTGAATAGGAAGCTTCTTGAAAGCTCGATTAGATTAGCTCGAGTACTTTAGCAAAGTGCTTGTACATGGACCGGCTCAGCCATGTACAAAAATTGCCACCTCATTTCTTCATAGAAGGATTCAGGGGCGCATGTTAGACCGTTCTCAAGTCTACCCAGTGAAATAAGGCCCTCAGCATGTGAAAATTTTGAATTTTCATATTTTCTTCAGTTCTAGTTCTGTTCTAATTAAGTTCTAGTTCAGTTTTAGTTCAGTTCTAGTTCAGTTCTAGTTCAGTTCTAGTTCAGTTCTAGTTCAGTTCTAGTTCAGTTCTAGTTCAGTTCTAGTTCAGTTCTAGTTCAGTTCTAGTTCAGTTCTAGTTCAGTTCTAGTTCAGTTCTAGTTCAGTTCTAGTTCAGTTCTAGTTCAGTTCTAGTTCAGTTCTAGTTCAGTTCTAGTTCAGTTCTAGTTCAGTTCTAGTTCAGTTCTAGTTCAGTTCTAGTTCAGTTCTAGTTCAGTTCTAGTTCAGTTCTAGTTCAGTTCTAGTTCAGTTCTAGTTCAGTTCTAGTTCAGTTCTAGTTCAGTTCTAGTTCAGTTCTAGTTCAGTTCTAGTTCAGTTCTAGTTCAGTTCTAGTTCAGTTCTAGTTCAGTTCTAGTTCAGTTCTAGTTCAGTTCTAGTTCAGTTCTAGTTCAGTTCTAGTTCAGTTCTAGTTCAGATCTAATTCAGTTCTAGTTCAGTTGTTAAATTTTGTCACATAATTCCACTTTCTACTTTAAAATGTTCAAATTTAACGATTTTTTAACAAAACGGCATTGCCAACTATCAGAACAAACAAAACAGCTGTGTTTTCTTTACCAACATAACAATTATTATTAGATATGGCATCACTAATAAAAAACTCTTCAAAGAGGAAGAGAGAAGGAAAACAGCTGTCAATTGATTCAGATTTTGTAAACAAAATATTCCGCAAAAAAAAATCTGGACAAAATGCAAAATTATTATTTTCCCAAAAGTAAAAGTACAATAAAAAATGCCTAAAAATGTCTTATACAATACAAGAAAAAATTGGTATTATTGATTTGCTGCAAACGGAAAGAAACAATATTTCTATATTATATCAACTGGCCAAAAGTGTAACCAAAAATGTGATAAACGTAAACTCAGAGCTGGGTAAGTAAGGTAGTAATAAATTTTAGCAAATCAACAACTTTTAAACACAATTAAATTTCCCTACAGAGGCCTTGGACACAATATTTCTGCACATACCCGACTGCACCACCCTGCTAAGTAAACGTTTAATAACAAAGGAAATTCTCTTTAGATATTTACATAAAAAGAAAGTACCTTTAACGGCCGACTTTACCAAATCGCAACTGGTGAAAAAAGTTGTGGACTATTGGTATCAAAGCTATGACTCCACAAACACACAAAATGGTACTACGGCGGTAGTAAAAAGTGAAACAACTGAGCAGCAAAATCATAGTCAATTAAATTATCATTCAGCGGAATCTTCTACTACCACTAACGCTACAATTATACAAGAACCCTCTGAATTTCCCATACATTTATTGGCTCGCAAATTTTCCGAATGGTTTTTCGACAATTATAATAAAAACTCATTAAAAGTAAATGACTTCTGGACGGATGCTTCTTTATTAATGCAAATTGCGGCCAATGATGGCATAGACGAACATTTATGTGAAGATTCAGAAAGTATTTTACAAAATCTGGTGGAAACTCGTCAACGTTTTGGTTTTTATTTCAATCCCAACCTAACTCATGCTGGAGTTCAAGGGCGTATGGATGTTCATGGTTTAGTTCTGGTCTTAAGCTGTGGCACTCTACATACCTCACAAGATTGTGTGGGAGTTTTTGAATGCGTTTTTGGCCTTTTAAGAGATCCCTTTGCTGAGAATAATTGGAAAACGAAAAATATAAAGTTAATCTTGCGCAGTAAAGGAGCAGCTGTTATGCCATCATTGGAGGAGAGTGTTGATTTGAAAGATGCTTTGGAATTGCCAGTGCCGCAAGGTGAACTAGCTTAGTAGTAACTTAAATTTGTAAAAATTTTGTATAAATAATTTATTTAAGTTAATAAATGAGATGCGAAAAATTGCGAATATAACTAATACAATTGTGTCTAATTGGAATTTAAAACAAGTAATAAGTCTATAATCTCCATGCCAAATCTTTTTTACATTTTAGTAAGTGAAGGGACTTCATCATATTGTGTATATTATTTTATAAAATTTCACTCTGTCATTGGAATAACAAAAACAACAACAATATACGCCAAACAAAACACAAAAAAAAAACAAAATACGTAAAGCAATAAAACTAACACACATACAAACATACTTTTTTCCAATAAGCTATGTTGTTGTTGCTGTTTTGTCAAAACATGCAATAAATTGTTTTTTATGAAATTTTCAGGAATTTGGGATTTTGTTCATATCTCCGTTATTTATGGACAGATCTTTCTGATTTTAAATAGGAAACTTTTCGAAAACATTTCTAACAGAATTATTGAAGATTTGGATTCCATAGACATCTTGGGATAGGGTCGCAAAATTATATTGTGGAAAATACTAACGGAATGACAAACCTGCTCACCGAGGTGAAGGGTGTAAAAAATATGTTTGCATCAAGTAATATTTGATTTAAGAAATGTTCTTATAAGAATAATCTACAATAAACTAAAAAAAAATATATAAATAATCTTTCACTTACCTGGTATTTTATCCTTATCCTTTCTTACAGCGATCGTGTCGTACAAACTCCATATATTCTCCAAAACAAATTGAACAAACATAGGCTTTTTAGCCTTTTCCTGAGCACCAGCAATGGCGCATTTCTTTTAGCATTATAGAAGTAATCACCCCATAAAACTTGTTCCAAATCTTCAACCGACATTTCCAATTTTTCAGCATAAGTGGCAGCAAAGTCACGTACACCAACAAAGCCCAACCATCATAAGCTGAGCAGAAGACAACATTGCCCGAAGCAGGAGAAAAATATAAATGTGAATCATCGCTATCCTCTAAGGCTGACTCATAATTATCCTTATGACTAATATCCTCTTTAGCCAGACATCAGAAGCAAAGATGCTGCCCAAAACTGCATTCACCTGTTCCAGTACTTGGGTAATATGGAAATAAGCATCCAAAGGAGTCATTTGCTTCTCCAAAATAAGACGGTCGATTTATTTAAAACCAACACGGTTTCAATTGTTCCACATAAAACTTGTTGCAGACAAGCCCGAGTTTGAGGACATACACCCTCCACTACATCTACCACCACAATAGCGCCATCGCACAATCTCACCGCTGTAGAAACTTCACTGGAGAAATCTACATGACCCGGCGAATCTATTAAATTCACCAAAAAGTTCTTATGATCCGCAAAACTTTGATAGAACAGAGATATGCTACTGCTCTTCATAGTTATACCGCGTTCCTGTTCATCTTGACGATTATCCAAATAGCGTAATTTTCCCGCCATACGCTGCGATATAATGCCATTGCTGGCCACTAGCGAATCGGCTAAAGTAGTTTTTCCATGATCAACAGGGCCACATATACAAATATTACGCACGCTTTCGATATTTTTTTGTAAATTAACTAAATCACCGGTATCAACGATAGGCATTTTAAGAAAACTTTTTTTTCACTTAAAGGATGCACAAAGAAAAAAACTCACACACACTCACTCACGTAAAAAGGCGCGTAATTTACACAACGGAACCGTATATAAACTTAGAAACACAAACTTATTTAAGCCAATTTGGACTGTCGTACCGCACGTGTGAAACTGATTTGTTTACGCCTGTTTATGAAATTGCGTAGTGCAAGCCAGCTGTTTTTTGTTTATGTTGTGAAATTAATTCAATCATTCACAATAACTAAAGTGGGAAGGGATTTTTAATCAGCTGTTAAGTACAAACCGTTAAATTTTTATTTAAAAATTTTTTATGAAAATAATAAATTTATTTTCTTGGCAGAAAGCAGTTTCATTCTGAAAATAAATTGTTTTGTTTTTGAAAATAAATAAACTATTGAATTTATTGATCGATGTGCATTTGTCGTGTGAGTAGCCAAGGAGTATAAGAGTTTAAGTTGTGCAAATGGATCCACAAATATTCCAGATGCGGCGCTTATGAAGGCTCGATGTATATAATTTGAAACACGTTTCTTATCGTATTTTAACAATTTTTTATTATTTTTAGAAAGAGCTCGGCTAGGTCTTAAAATGCTTAAATGTTCAGGAGTGTGCTTTTAATCTCTTATAATTATTAAGTTACAGGAAATTGATAATTTAAATTTTAATTTATTATTATTTAAACATATTTTAATATATTGAATGGACTAAAATTTGTTTTGAAAGATAATTTTGAAAGATAATAGAAAATTTTATAACAAAATTTTGGATACTTTTAACCAGGTTAAAAAAGGTTGTCCCACGAAAATCGGTTCTTTGCATCGGAACGACGATGCTACACAAAGACATCGTCACAGGGTATACAGAGGCGTCACGAGCAAAAAACTATTTCCCTCTCTTTCGCACAAAACGAATTCAATAATTTTTTTAGCTGTATTTTATATACCTCTTCTCACCAAACAATTTCAAAATCAAACAAAAGCTGATTTTACACTTTTTTTAAATGTCAAAAGTGACACCTCTGTATACTTTGTGACATCGTTACCGAAATAAACCTACCAATACAGCTTAAATGCCGATCCCACTATCCTTTCACCGTTTCGAAAGAGTTGCCAGGCTTGCTTTAAATGAACTTTGTATTCTAATATTCTCAAATAAAATTATTTTCCAAAACAAATAATAAATTAACAAAAGTTATCGTCTGTTGCTTGTCGCTACGGTCGCAATTATAATCTTACTGTATTCACTCTAACAGCTGTTTTATTTTCATTCACAATAGTTTGACATTTTCTTATTGGACACAAGACACATCTCTGCACATACGCAGCTGACGTTTATCTGCATTTAGTCATTTTTATCCATCGAATTTGTCCACGTTTTCGAAAGTGTTTTTTGGTGCAATTGGCGATAAAGGAACAAAACGTAAACAAAATGACTTCGTTAACTCCTGAACAGAAAAAGGAATTGATTACCCGTAATCTCCAAGAAACTTTAGGTGAAGATAAACTCAATGCTATCCTGAAGGAGCGCGATTTGAAAATATATTGGGGTACTGCCACCACCGGTAAACCTCATGTGGCCTATTTCGTGCCTATGTCGAAAATTGCTGACTTTTGAAAGCAGGATGTGAGGGTAATATTTTTAATGGATTTATAGAAAATATTTTAACTTTTAGAAAAATCTGTGGGATTATTGTGATTTCGTGTTTAAAATTAATACACACACACACATGTATAAAATTGTAATTACTTTGGAATGTGACACTCATTGTGGCGAATTTTGTAAACAAAAAATTTAGTTTCTAGGAATTTAGCTAAGTAATAATTAAACATAATAGCTTCATAATACGCAGAATTAACATAAAAGTGATTGTTTTTTTTGTTAAACAAATAACTGGAAAGAAAATTACACATTAGAAATGCTAAGGCAATTTCAAAGACTCATTGTGAAATTGAGACGAATGATCAATAATATATTGTAATGAACCTAAAAGTTTACTAAGCCTATCCTTTTTATACTGACTATCAACGTAAAGTTTGTTTTTACGATGACGCAATGAAATTTGCTTGTTGACCTTGTACTAAGGACAATTCCTATTGAAACCAGTTACAATTCCAGTTGTGCTATCATTCATGTATATTTATCTATCTATCTATCTATCTATCTAGCTATCTATCTATCTATCTATCTATCTATCTATCTATCTATCTATCTATCTATCTATCTATCTATCTATCTATCTATCTATCTATCTATCTAATCTATCTATCTATCTATCTATCTATCTCTATCTATCTATCTATCTATCTATCTATCTATCTATCTATCTATCTATCTATCTATCTATCTATCTATCTATCTATCTATCTATCTATCTATCTATCTATCTATCTATCTATCTATCTATCTATCTATCTATCTATCTATCTATCTATCTATCTATCTATCTATCTATCTATCTATCTATCTATCTATCTATCTATCTATCTATCTATCTATCTATCTATCTATCTATCTATCTATCGATCTATCTATCTATCTATCTATCTATCTATCAATCAATCTATCTATCTATCTATCTATCTATCTATCTATCTATCTATCTATCTATCTATCTATCCATTTATGTATCTATGATTTTAGGGCTCCAAAATTCAGTCCTTCATTCACAAACATTTTCTTTTAACCTCCAGGTCACCATTCTTTTGCCGATCTTCATGCCTATTTGGATAACATGAAAGCACCATGGACTCTTTTGCAATTACGTACCCAATATTATGAAGCTGTCATCAAGGCTATGTTATCATCGATTGGTGTTCCTCTAGATAAATTAAAATTCGTTAAGGGTACCGACTATCAATTGTCCAAGGAATATACCCTCGATGTTTACAAACTAAGTTCGGTGGTTACACAAGCACGATGCCAAAAAAGCTGGTGCTGAAGTAGTCAAACAAGTTGAATATCCCCTGTTATCCGGTTGCTGTATCCCGGTCTACAAGCCTTGGATGAAGAATACCTTAAGGTAGATGCTCAATTCGGTGGTGTTGATCAGAGAAAAATCTTCACTTTCTCCGAGAAATATTTGCCTCAATTGGGCTATGAGAAACGTATACATTTCATGAACCCTATGGTGCCTGGTTTGGCTGGTGGTAAAATGTCTTCTCGGAAGAAGACTCAAAAATAGATCTTTTGGATTCACCCGCTAATGTTAAGAAGAAGTTGAAGAGGCTTTCTGTGAACCCGGCAATATTGCCGACAATGGTTTGCTGTCCTTTGTTAAGCATGTTTATTCTCCTTGTTCAAAGAGGGTGAAGGTTTTGAAATTAATCGTGCCCCTGAAAATGGTGGTGATGTTACTTTCAATAACTTTTGCTGATTTGGAACAATATTTCGCTGATCAAAAGTTACATCCTGCTGATCTTAAAGCTACCGTAGAGAAATACATCAACAGATTGCTGGATCCTATTAGAAAAACTTTCGAAACACCAGAATTACAGTAAGTACATAGTAATGGCATTGTAAATCAATAATACAGCTAATAACAAAAATTATTTTTAATTTTATAGAAACTTAGTGCTGCTGCTTATCCACCACCAGCTAAAACTAAGGGTGGTAATGCCGCCAATGCTGCCGCCCCTGAGGAAGATGGTCCCCATCGTTGGATATACGTGTTGGCAAGGTGCTTGAAGTACAACGTCATCCTGATGCTGATACTTTGTATGTTTTAAAGATTGATTTGGCCGAAGAGCAACCACGCACTATTATCAGTGGTTTGGTTAAATTTGTTACCGTCGAAGAGCTAGATCAACGTTTGGTAGCGGTTTTGTGCAATCTCAAACCCTCTAAAATGCGTGGTATTCTATCCGAGGGCATGGTTTTATGCACTTCCAAGTAAGTTCATTTAAGAAGTTTTTTAATTTAAAAATTTAATCAATATTTTAAATTATTTCCAGTGAGGATCATACTGTGGTTGAACCCATTATTGTTCCTGCCAATGCAGCTCCCGGCAGCCGTTTGGCCTTTGAAGGCTACAGTGGCCAACCCGATGAGCAATTGAATCCCAAAAGAAAGTTTGGGAAAAACTTTCAGTTGATTTCAAGACAAATGCTGATGGTGTTGCTGTTTGGAAAGATAACTTCCTTTTAACTCCTGATGGCGAAAAACTTTCCAGCAAATTAGCCAATTGTTGTATTAAATAGATGATTTCTACTAAAGCGATATTATGAACAAAGGCATTTAGTTTATTTACCACACATTCTTTTATTTATTTAAAACGCCTTCTTAGTAACACATTTTGATATTTGTTTTTTTAGTTTTTATTTTTTTTTAAGAAAAAAAGGCTTAAAGTTTTTAACACAATAAACAGATATAACTGCCTTAAACATTAAAAATGTTAACATTTTATTTACAATTTATTACACTATTTCATAGATAACGGATGGTCATTTAAGCCGCCTTTCGGCTTGTTTGGTTTCAATTGTTTTAGTTCCTTCAACTAAAACATCTTTTAATCTTTGTATTACCACTTTTTGTCCTAAAATTTCCATCATTTCTGCTACCCCCAGGTCCTTCCTAAAATTTTGTTAATATTTTTTTTAAATTTTATTTTCATTGCTTGGTATTTTTAATACACTCACTTTTAAACCACTTAAAAGCTGATCTTAAGCATTTCATTAGTACCGGGAATTTTATACTCTGCTCTTTGCTAAATTCTTTTAAAACTTTATTCAAATTATCTTTATTAAACTCAGTCGTTGATATAATTTCGTTAAGTATTTCAAGTTGTTCTGTAAATATTTTTGATACATTTTAAATCATAATTTTAGTACCAAAATTTAATGAAAAAATTAAAAGTGATGTTTAAGTTGAAAATGGCGTGAAGAATTATAATCGAAATGTTGAAAGATAAAAAAAACTTGTAGAAAGTCGTAAGCAAACATACCTTTAGTTAGATCCTTTAGAATGAAATTTGTAGGTTTAACCCACAGGAAACTTAATTTAGGCGATGTTAAATCCTTAACGAAAGTCAAACGCTGAGCAAGCCCATTGTAAAACACTCTTTATATGATCGGCATTTAAATCCAGATTTGATCTATAACAAGAAATAGAAAAATATATTTTAAATTAAAATTAAATTTGTTAAAACTTCATTCATAATAAAAAGCCAACTAACGAGCTGCTGCCTTTTCGTTGTGGGAATTTGCACACAAAACAGTTAGCAACTCGTTTTTCATTATTATTATTTCATTCTAATTAGAAACTAATTAAAACTATATAGTACTTACTCATTGGGATATGATTCCTTAATTAACGTTGTAACATTTTCCACTAGTTCCTTGGTAGCTGTTTTCAGATTCTAATAATTTAATAATATGTAAACGATTGAAATCATCCAATATGATAGGATTTAAGCGGCTGGGATGTGAATTTACTTGTTCAATATTAAACTGTTAAAAATAAAACTAATATTTCCAGAAGGTACTATATTATTAAAGAAAATCTATTACAAACCTTTTCTGATAGTTCTTTTAAACTATAAACCTTTGGTTTACTAAATTGTTCATGGGGAAAGCCGCCACCAGCGGAAACTACATAATTAACTACGGCAGTAGGAAAATAGCCTTTATCTCTATACAATAAACAATTCAATAAATTTCTTATTGGATTTATATTAGCACTACATACCTAAAATGTTTAATACCATATCACCCTGGCGTTTACTTAACTTAGTTCCATCGTTATTAACTAATAAAGGTAAGTGACCAAATTTTGGTGGTGCCAACCAAAAGCTCTAAAATTTACAAAATCACTTTAAAGGAAGTTGTAGATTTGGAATTTTATAAATAATTTCTTACTTATATAACAATAAATGTTTTGTGGTAGAAATTTGCCATTCTACACCACGAAATACATGTGTCACAGCCCATTAAATGATCATCCACTACATTGGCGAAATGATACGTAGGAAATTGGATCGGTTTTTATTATAACCGGTCGCCTTCATTATCACTGACATTATGTGTGTACCGGACCATAATTAAATCGTTATAGGTTCCTCATAATCCGTCAATTTAAAACGTATACAATAGGGCGTTTGTTTAGCTAAAAGCTCATTGATTTGCTTCTTCTCTGTTAAGTGGGCGACATTTGTTATCATATTTGGGTATTTGTCGTGCTCTAACAGCTTCCTTGCGTACAAATCCAAACGGCGTTCGGTGCAAAACAACGATAAGCTGTGCCATTATCTAATAGAGTTTTAAAACCGAATCTCTGAAATTGGTGCAAACAAAAATATTTTTTTTCGTTTTTATGTTAAATCCTTATACTTACAAGTATATTTTGGTTCGTTGACTCTGTATATAAGGTCCATAACTACCACCAAATTTGCCAGGACCCTCATCTATATCTATGCCAGCCCATTGGTAAATCTTCTATTAAGGCTTCCATAGCTCCGGGCACTAGACGTGTTTGATCCGTGTCTTCTATGCGCAGTAAAAATTTACCATTTTGATTTTTGGCATATAAATAATTGTATAAAGCGGTACGCAGGCCACCCAAATGTAAATAACCTGTTATAAATGTTTTGTTTATTAAATTATTGTTTAAATTTCAAAGTATTCCAATAACTTACCGGTAGGGACTAGGAGCAAAACGTACTCTTACTTCGTTAGAAGAAAATCTTTTAATTGCAGAAAGAGGAAACAAGATGTTTTTGTTAATGATTCTTCTCAGCAGAACCATTTTAATTTATAATTTAAAATTTTCTTAAAAATTACACTATTTTGCAAAAATATTTAAAATTAACCTTAGTTATTGTTTACATTTCACAGCTGATTGAGAACAGTTAAAAAACATGCACAATAAAGCTTTATTTACATACTATTGTGAACTATATATTAACTTCATTCACAATATGACAACCTCATGCTTGCTTTGTTTATAAATTGAATGAAGAAAACCAAAACAAAACGACAAATCCCGGGTTTTAAAAGTTTATTTCGCAATTTCAATAAGAAATTATTTAAAATTTGATGAGAAAGACCGGTAAAAATGAATAATGGCTTTGAAGGAATGGGTAATATTAGTGATTGAAATAAAAATATAGTGTAGTTTATGGATTAATCTTGATTTTTTTCAGGGCGGTTATATGGGCGGCCAAAATTACCAAACTGGAAGAACAGTTTAGTGCCGCCAGTAATCCTTATAAGAAACCGATTTATTCTCCGGCATATCCATATTTGGTCAATGGTCATACGAACCCTTCGGCCGATGAACTAAAACGTATTATGATGATACATGGTGGTATTTTTCATCATTATGAGAGATCGCACACCACTTACATTATTGCCTCCAATTTGCCCGATGTCAAGGTGCGCAATATGAATACTAGTAAATTATAAGTCCCCAATGGGTGGTGGACTGTATAAAAAAAAAAAAGATTTTAGATTATACGAAATATTTACTCTATACAAATCAAAGAAATCCCAACCTAGCATAAGTTTGGTAATGAAGAAAAGGAGGAACCAAATGTAAGTGTGGCAGCAACTAATACCATGGAGGTGGAAGATCAGTTAAAGAATAATTTGAAATCTATTAATAATGGTTTACAAGAATTAAATGCAAAAATGCGTCATAGTTTAGCAGCGAATAGTTCTATGTCGAAAAAGGATGTTTCTCTTAATTCGTCTTCGTGCGGCAAACTCATCTAGTGTGGCTTCGTACTGCAGTGGATCCAAAATTTCTAAGTGAATTTTATAATAATTCACGTTTACATCATATAGCTACTCTGGGAGCAGGCTTTAAAGCAGTATGTTAGCGATTTAAGGGAACAGCATGGTGGAAATGGTTTTCTGCTCGTTTAGAGTTAAAGAAACGTTTACAAATGAATAACGTTGCTGAATAGAGCCTTTTAAATTGTCCCGGCCAAAAATCTTGTGTCCATGCATATTGATATGGATTGTTTTTTCGTTTCTGTGGTTTACGCACACATCCCCACTTAAAGGGACAACCGGTGGCGGTAACACACTCTAAAGGCAGATATATAGATGACCTCTACCAACTTTACCTTCATACTTATAAATTTATTTGAAAATAATGTTTTTTTCCCTTTAGGTGGTCCTCGGCCACTGAAGTACCAGTCCACCCAATGCTGATCGCAAAACCGAAATGGAGTTATTTGCCAAACGTTTTGAGGGCAGCATCTGCACAATAACATACTTTCGGACAAAGTACGTGGTGGCTTTGAAAACAAAATGTCACTATCTGAAATAGCCTCTGCCTCATATGAAGCACGAGCCAAAGGTATACGCAATGGCATGTTTGTGGGTCAAGCTTTGAAACTATGCCCGGAACTCAAACCATACAATATGATTTTGAAGGCTATCGAGAAGTAGCCTTTACTCTATACAATACCATAGCCCAGTATACTTTAAATATAGAGGCTGTCAGTTGTGATGAAATGTTTGTGATTTAACGGAAGTTTTAGATGAACTTAAGGTGATGTAATGGATTTTGTAAAGGCCATACGAGAAGAAGTTAGAGATAAAACCCAGTGTCCCTGTTCGGCAGGCGTAGGAGCCAATAAGTAAGTTATTGTCGTTATTTATAGATTTGGATTTGTTTAAAAGCCTTTACTTTTCTTTAGATTACAGGCTAGAATGGCCACCAAAAAGGCCAAACCCGATGGTCAATATTATTTACAATGTGAAAATGTGGAGGCCTATATGGCGGAAATACCCATACAGATTTACCGGGAGTAGGCAGTAGTACGGCCTATACCTTAAAAGAGGCTCAAATGATTACGTGCGGTGATTTGCAGAAAAGTTTCCCTGGCTCGTGTGCAAATGTTGGTGGGTAAAAAATTTGGTGAAACTTTATATCAATTTTGTCGCGGCATAGATCAAAGAGGTTTAACTTATGGCCAAATACGTAAATCTGTTTCGGCAGAAGTAAATTATGGCATACGTTTCAAAACCTATGACGAATTGGAAACTTTTCTCAAGCAGTTATGTGCCGAAGTACACAATCGTTTGAATGATATTAAAAGAAAAACCAAATGTGTTACTCTAAAACTAATGGTTAGAGCTAAAGAAGCACCAGTGGAGACTTCAAAATTTATGGGTCATGGTGTGTGTGATCACATTACCAAATCAGTGTCCCTTTCAGAGTTTACTAATGATTTGGAGACAATTACTAGGTGTATATTGACTACTATGAAAGCTTTAAATTTACCGCCTCACGAGCTAAGAGGCATTGGTATACAATTATCTAAATTAGATGATCCCACGGAACAGCAGGAGAAGCCCAAAGAGAATATTATAAAGAATATGTTTTCCAAAGTAAAAGAAAAGCAGAAAGAAGCTAAAGCACAGGACAACAAAACAGAAAATAAGGAAATTAAGGAAACAACAAATGAAAGTAAAAATTTGGTCATAGGGCCAGAGATTAATAAAAGTCCCGAAACTAAAAAAAGTCCGGAGCCTAAAAAACATACTGCAGCTACAAAAAGAGGACGTCCCAAAGCTGCTGGCAGCAATAAGGAGTCCAAAAGTAAACCCAATATAATGGGTATGTTACAAAATGCAGCAGCTAAACAGCTAAAACAAAATACAAATGTTCAAGAACAATCAATACCAGAGGATGTGGATCCAGAAGTATTTAATGCCTTACCTTTAGATATAAGAGAAGAAATACTAAGAGAAAGAAGAAAAGCCCCCCTTATAACTAACAAAAATGCTTCAGATAAACCAGCACCAGCAAAAAGTACAAATAATAATCAAAGTTTACTTAATGAAAGTGATTTTTTACCCTCTACTTCTAAGGCGGCACAACAAAAACGTGAGCAGAAGTTACAACAGAAAAATCAGCAAAATTCGGCAACAAATCATACCGAACCTATGGAAGTAGATCCAGAGTTCTTGGCTGCTCTACCGCCGGAGCTAAGGCAAGAAATTGAACAACAACTTAAAGCACAAAAACAAAATTCAGAACATGAACAAAGTTACAGACCCATAACGCCACCGAAAATAAGTGGCTCTGAAGCAAACATTAAAAAGAAAACTTCCCAAGCATCGATTAAAATAAGTTCTGATAATATTTTCACTCAAAGCAATTGTATTGAATTACTTCTATCTTGGCTGCAAAGTTGTGATGTACCTGAAAATTATGATGTTGATTTAATGTGTTCCAATGCCCGAGAATTGGTAAGAGCTAAAGAATTGGATAAATTATATGAATCTCTGGTGTATTTGGGACGTGTGATAAGACAACAGAAAGATACGGAAAACGATTGTCCTTGGCACTTGGCATTTAAGATGATTTTAGAAGCAGTACAAATGGAAATGCTGCAGGTCTATGATGGCAGGAAGTTGTTTTTGCCGGTGAAATTGAAATGTGATAAATGTAAAATTTGAAAAATCAAAAGTAACTTAAGTTTTTTTTTATTGGCAAATAAAAGAGTTTTATATTAAAGTGGTCAAGGTATTCAGAAAGCTTGATGTTTCAACCAGCGAATTACAATTTGAGACTGAACTAGAAGCGAACTAAAATTCAACTAGGGTAGAACTAGAACTGAACTAGAACTGAACTAGAACTGAACTAGAACTGAACTAGAACTGAACTAGAACTGAACTAGAACTGAACTAGAACTGAACTAGAACTGAACTAGAACTGAACTAGAACTGAACTAGAACTGAACTAGAACTGAACTAGAACTGAACTAGAACTGAACTAGAACTGAACTAGAACTGAACTAGAACTGAACTAGAACTGAACTAGAACTGAACTAGAACTGAACTAGAACTGTACTAGAACTGAACTTGAACTGAACTAGAACTAAACTAGAACTGAACTAGAACTGAACTAGAACTGAACTAGAAATGAACTAGAACTGAACTAGAAATGAACTAGAACTGAACTAGAACTGAACTAGAACTGAACTAGAACTGAACTAGAACTGAACTAGAACTGAACTAGAACTGATCTAGAACTGAACTAGAACTGAACTAGAACTGAACTAGAAATGAAGTAGAACTGAACTAGAACTGAACTAGAACTGAACTAGAACTGAACTAGAACTGAACTAGAACTGAACTAGAACTAGAACTGAACTAGAACTAAACTAGAACTGAACTAGAACTGAACTAGAACTGAACTAGAACTGAACTAGAACTGAACTAGAACTGAACTAGAACTGAACTAGAAATGAACTAGAACTGAACTAGAACTGAACTAGAACTGAACTAGAACTGATCTAGAACTGAAGTAGAACTGAACTAGAACTGAACTAGAACTGAACGAGAAATGAACTAGAACTGAACTAGAACTGAACTACAACTGAACTACAACTGAACTAGAACTGAACTAGAACTGAACTACAACTGAACTAGAACTGAACTACAACTGAACTACAACTGAACTAGAACTGAACTAGAACTGAACTACAACTGAACTAGAACTGAACTACAGCTGAACTAGAACTGAACTAGAACTGAACTAGAACTGAACTAGAACTGAACTAGAACTGAACTAGAACTGAACTAGAACTGAACTAGAACTGAACTAGAACTGAACTAGAACTGAACTAGACTGAACTAGAACTGAACTAACTGAACTAGAACTGACTAGAACTGAACTAGAACTGAACTAGAATTGAACTAGAACTGAACTAGAACTAAACTAGAACTGAACTAGAACTGAACTGAATATAAATAACAGCTAAACTTGAAAACCCAAGTACTTTGGCATTAAATTTAAATATCCACAATATTAGATTATATAGATATCAATATCTTTTATTATTCATATTTAATAATTACATTTATCTTTAAGATTTATCTTAAAAATAATCTTTATATACAAGCAAAACATCTGCTTTTCTACAATGCAAAAGAAAAGTAAATTCGAATGAAAAAAAAAAATATACATATGTCTAACTAAAATCATCATCAATCTCCCTGCTGCCTTGTTATCTCTGTTGTATTTTGAACATAAAATATCATCATCATTCATTTATTATTAAATGCATTGTCGCCTCTTTAAACCACCTTTGATGGTTTGTGATGATCATGAAAGATCTTATTGTTGATATAGAAGTAGCATAGCAGAGTTGTATGTACACATAAGCTTGTATGTTGGCAGTTAATACAACTTGTCTGGTTACGAATGAACAACTCTTTAAAAGAAAACTTTATTTTTTAATGATTTTTATAATTAGTTTTATCACGCCACATCAAACGGAAGTAAACCCACATTTAACTTTTTTCTTAGTTTAAGAAATAGATGGCTTACGCAGCATTTTTAACTCCATAGACCCAGCAAAAAAAGTGAGGAAAAAGAAGTAGAATTTTCACCACAAATAACATACTTGAAGTACTTCCAATTTTGGTGAAAAACCTATGAATTTTACATTAGCGTGTCATTGGAGGGATGTTGTTCATTTTTGACAACTTTGAACTACATCTAATCTTATTCATAGATGCAGTAAAAATCCGATATTTGGAAGTCAAAAATAAACCACATACTTTCAATGACACGCTTATGTAAATTTCATTGGTTTTTCACCAAAATTTGATGTACTTCGAATATGTTATTTGTAGTGACTTTTCAACATCTCTTTCCTCACTTTTAACTCGGTTTTTATTTGTAAGGAAATATTTGGTTTATAGAAGCGAAAAATATGCAATCGCATTTTTAGATGTGATTAAGATGTCGTTTGTAAAGTATGACATCAATTATTTTTTGCTGGGAGATATATGTATATGTTTATAGGGAATATTTGCATGCATATAACATTAGACCTGCCCTTAAAAACATAGGCACATATGAAATAGGGTTCTATAAATCGACTTTCGAATAATCGAACAATCGACTTTTTGTCGAAAAAAGTCGAAAAGTCGAAGTCGACTATTTTGTTCCAAAAAAAATCGATAACTCGACTATCGTCTGTGAAAAAAGTCGAAAAGTCGACTTTGTGAATAAAAGTCGAAAAAGTCGAAAAGTCTGAAAGTCGAAAAAAGGAAAAAGTCGAAAAAAGTCGAAAAAAGTCGAAAAAAGTCGGAAAAAGTCGAAAAGTCGACTATTTATAAATACTTATAGTCGAAAAGTCTAAAATCGACTTTTATTTAAATGAAAAAAGTCGAAAATCGACTTTTCATAAAACGCAAAAAGTCGAAAAGTCGCCTTTTAACTAAATGAAAAAAGTCGAAAAATCGACTTTTCGTTTCAACTATAGAACCCTAATATGAAATCATTTTTAAAACATTTCCTGTTTGGTGCTGACTTTTCCGCATTCTATTTAATATGAATTTGTAACTTTCAAGCGCGGGTCTAATACTCAAAATTTGTTTGCTGGAGTTGCACATCAAAAGTTGATAGGAAAATGATAAATTGTTTCTGTTATTATGATCGTTTGAAGTTAATGTTGGTTTTTATTTAGTTGTATTTATTATTTAAAAGAAAAATGGAACAAGTTTATTAGGAATAGTGTAAGCATGTTAAAATGTAAAGTTAAAATCAAACTCGTATGCCTAATAAGATTTAAATGAATTGATGAAGAACTAGTGTTTGAAATAGAGCAGTTTCAATATATAATATTTTTCTATTTTTCATTAGAACTGAACTATAAATGAATTAGAACTGTACTAGAATTGAACTAGAACTGAACTAGAATCATTTAAGTAATTAAGTGATATTGGAGAATAAACTTTATTCCCATTCTTATTACAAAAATTTAATAAATTTTAAAACTTTTTAATGCTTAAATCTCAAAATCAATTCTACACAAACAAAACACAGATGTTCTAAATCAACATACTTTGGGGGTTGAACATCAAGAAAGCATCTGGCAGGTGTGCAATCAACAGCAAGGAATTGTAAAAAATATAGTATAGCGAATTAATTACAAGACAACAATAAATGATCATCAAATTACTTAAAAGAACAACAAATTCTACATTCATAAAAAACAACTCTACTGCTGGAAAAAACAAAAACTAGGTAATTAATAGTCTTCATCAATAGGGCGAAAAATGCATAAAACAAACTCGAAGAGGTTTTTTTCTGCTGCTCCTGCTGCTGCCATTGATGGAGAAGTTGATGTGGCCGTTGATAACATTATATATAAAATATTTCTTCTATATTAATAAAAGGCCTAAATGAAGGTTATTTTATGGATAAACTGTGGGACTTTTAATAAAAAAATCTCTGTATGAATTGGAACTTGTTTTAGGACATCACCAGTGCATTTATGTTTCATCACTCTTGCGAAACTTAAAGAAAACAAAAACGAAATACAATATTAACAATACTAATAATAATAGCACCTAGCACCTGGCGGAACTATCAACTAATAATTTGCACTTTTTAATGGGTGGAGCAATTTTAGATGCCACATACAAACATCTACCTATAACACTAGATTGACTTCAAGAGTTTGGGAACTAGTTGAAAGGAAGTGATGCAGATGAACAGGTATTAGTACATATGTAGGTAGTTCTATCCCTTATATTCTAGTCATAATTCTTTTACAATAGTTAGTGAGAGTATAAGTTTTAACAGGGATGCCAGGTTAATTTAGTTTAGAATAGTTTATCTCTCGTTCAGTTCTAATTCCTGTTCTGTTCTCGTTCATTTCCAGTTCAGTTCTAGTTCAGTTCTAGTTAAGTTCTAGTTCAGTTCTAGTTCAGTTCTAGTTCAGTTCTAGTTCAGTTCTAGTTCAGTTCTAGTTCAGTTCTAGTTCAGTTCTAGTTCAGTTCTAGTTCAGTTCTAGTTCAGTTCTAGTTCAGTTCTAGTTTAGTTCTAGTTCAGTTCTAGTTCAGTTCTAGTTGAGTTCTAGTTCAGTTCTAGTTCAGTTCTAGTTAAGTTCTAGTTTAGTTCTAGTTCAGTTCTAGTTAAGTTCTAGTTTAGTTCTAGTTCAGTTCTAGTTCAGTTCTAGTTCAGTTCTAGTTCAGTTCTAGTTCAGTACTAGTTCAGTTCTAGTTCAGTTCTAGTTCAGTTCTAGTTCAGTTCTAGTTCAGTTCCAATTCAGTTCTAGTTCAGTTCTGTTCTGGTTCATTTTAGTTCAGTTATAGTTCAGTTCTAGTTCAGTTCTAGTTCAGTTCTAGTTCAGTTCTAGTTCAGTTCTAATTCAGTTCTAGTTCACTTCTAGTTCAGTTCTAGTTCAGTTCTAGTTCAGTTCTAGTTCAGTTCTAGTTCAGTTCTAGTTCAGTTCTAGTTCAGTTCTAGTTCAGTTCTAGTTCAGTTCTAGTTCAGTTCTAGTTCAGTTCTAGTTCAGTTCTAGTTCAGTTCTAGTTCAGTTCTAGTTCAGTTCTAGTTCAGTTCTAGTTCAGTTCTAGTTCAGTTCTAGTTCAGTTCTAGTTCAGTTCTAGTTCAGTTCTAGTTCAGTTCTAGTTCAGTTCTAGTTCAGTTCTAGTTCAGTTCAAGTTCAGTTCTAGTTCAGTTCTAGTTCAGTTCTAGTTCAGTTCTAGTTCAGTTCTAGTTCAGTTCTAGTTCAGTTCTAGTTCAGTTCTAGTTCAGTTCTAGTTCAGTTCTAGTTCAGTTCTAGTTCA